CTAAATTAGGGACGGCTAGCGCAGATAGCCCTCGTGTAGCTTTGCGCGAAATTCAAAACAAACAAACAAATAAACATTATTCATCATCTCTGTTGGTATTAACCACTAAACTCCATCAGAGAAAAAAAATCACCTTAAATGTTTCTTATTCTAGTTTAAGGATGTTGATTTGTTCAGGCAGTGTGTCACCCCCACTTCCCCCGCGTCACGTTCTCCCCTAAACCTACAACGTCTATACATCATGGCTTCAAATTCGGGGTGTTCTATTTTCGGAGACATTTTTATGAGGTGTAAACTGGCTGTATTAGCCACCAGTCTTATTGATTCTCTGACACGTGGGATTTATTAGTACTAAACTCTGTTTGTCACCAAACTCTTAATTGAAATATCAAGCTAGAACATACATAAACCATGATCAAGACTGGGCGTGACTTAGTGATTAGTGTACCAGACTGTGAGTTGGAGGGATCGTGTTTCGTGTCCCACTGCCGCAAAATCGAGACTCCCCTCCTTTCGGGCTGTGGATGTTTTATAAGAATGGCGGCCAAATCCCCCTATTAGTTTAGGGTAGCCCAAGAGTTGGCGATCGCCTGATAAGTACTCTTGCTTATCTGCTTTTCCTCTATCGTGCCAGTTTAAAATTGGAACGGATAGGGCAGATAGTCCTTGAGTAGTTCTGCGCGAATATTCGAAACAAACCAACTAAGCTGTGATTATGAGGATTTCCCGTGTCATCGTAAAATTATGTATATTTAAAATGGGTAAGATCTGTTGATGCACCTTTTCTGAAATGTACTACATAAACTACCCAGCTGTTACCAGTTGTTTTAGTTGTATAATCTTAGACACGTATACAATACTGATTCATAAATACAAGCTAGTATTTATCCCACGTGATCAAAACAATTATTTAAAGTGTGTGTATGTACATGTTTATTTAGTAAGAAATATTGTGTTAAAAGTAACACACACTCATGTTTTATTTCACGGTGGGGTTGTTGAAAGTTGTTTATGCTTGGTCCCGTAGTTTCAAGTTAAAACACAAATATTGTTATAAAGTCGTATAGAAGAAACACTCGATAATAAAGCCTGTTTCAGTTTCTACGTGGCAACCTACTTAGTTTCAGTTATTGTTCAAGTTAAAACACAAATATTGTTATAAAATCTTATAGAAGAAACAATTGATAGCAAATTCTGTTTAACTTCATTGTAGCAACCTATACTCATTCGATGCTGTTACCGTCCAGTGATCTGGTGTTGAGAAAGTTTCTACTGTCCTATCTTCCAGTAACAAACTTTTTGGTTGTGATATACCTCATTTAGTGTAGTTGGGTACATGAAAATAATACCATATATATGTTTGCATATGAAGATTAACACTGTTCTTTGTTTTGCATCTGCTGTTCATAAATACTTTTTGTGTGGGGAAATATGTCGTACTGAAAGAACATTCGGTCTCCGCACTTATCAAAGTTTACGTAATACTTTACTATGCAATACACGCAAACACACAGCCTGTAGCAGTGTTTAAAAACAAACATTTCTTTACGCTCGGATACGAATCTGAATTATGGTTTAAAGCATCGCTTATGAACATAGAACACTAGATTAGTTGCACGAAGTTGTTTTTTTTTTGTCCTGTTAGTGAACAAACGATGTAAACATGCTCCTTACTATCACTACTACTAAAAAAAGGAGGGCTTGGCATAGACTGGTGGTTAGGGTACTCTACTTGCAATCTGCTCCAAATATAGTCGCCCTTTTAACTGTGAAGGCATTATAATCTTACAGCCAATCCCAGTATTTGTTGGTAAAAAAAAGAGCCCAAGAGTTTGCGGTGGATGTTACCTTCCAGTTGCTTTTCCATTGGTCGACTGTTCAAAATTAGGGATGGCAGCAGATAGCTTTAATATCTTTGCCATAAACAAAACAAACACGGCAAAAAAGAATAAAAAAACACCCAGCAGTAGACTTGGTACAAACTTTGTCATTGTTGCAAACCTCATTTGATGCAATAGGGACAAAACTTTCAGTTTGAGGAGAAGCTGAAACACCGAGTAATTGGTTAAGGTGTACCCCAGTTTATCACACAGTTTCAAACCCCTAGTTGCTACTGATCCTCAACTTATCAGAACGTTGAGATAATGATATTAACATCTCGTCAAATACTGCACGCTATGTCTTGACAAAATATACTCAATTGTGACTCCTCTTCATCTTCTCAACTTGTAAGTTTTGTTCCAAACTCTGAAGATCATTGACTTACATTTTAATATTGTACACATAGGTCTTTAACCAGAATTCCATTACAATATAATGTCTGAATTTTTGTGGAAAGAATTAACCTCTGTTATTTATTTACAATTATTTGTGTTAATTACAGATGTTCTCTAACTGTTCTAATTATTCTGATAGCTGACGCCATTTGGAAGAGTGGAGGAATTTAATAACACTGCTCCTCTCTTTGGAATCGTCTGGTCAGACAGCCGCCCCGTGACGTAGTCAGTTTCTTGTGCATGTGACGTCAAGACATATGAATGTTGCTTCTTCAGTTCTTTTCAGAGAACAGTAAATCACCTAATCTACTTGTCGACTGTCACTAATGGAGAGGCAGATTTTTGTTTGTTACCAAGAGAGAAGTGTTTGCGCTTCAGCAGGAAAATTGTCAGACGAGAATTCATAGAACGTTTATTTATTAAGCCTACATTACTGAGCAAGATCATCTCGTAGTTTGTTTTCCTTTGTCTCTGTCAGGTAGTATCGAGTCATAATAAGTTATAATCATCATTTATAATATTTTCAACCTAATTCTCGGAAATAGCGTTCTCTCCATTTT